AAACACACATCATGGTAAAATCAATACATTCATCGCTCCGCTCAGAATCTAAAATCTTAAAAATTTGATTCACTCGAAACGCCCCCTCATTTCTTATTGGCTTTCAAACATTTTATTCATCACCAATAAACTTTTGTATTTCAGTATCGTTATTAATTTTTATAAAAGACATGACGTTTTAGTCTGACACAAGACACTTTGCATTTGCATTTCAAAAATCACTCTCCAATTATAATTGCTGATATGAGCAAACAAATCGATAATGCGAAAATGTTGACCTCAAAATTGAACTATAGGCTGACGAAATGTTTCCAGCTTCCACTTCGGCATGTTGTTTATAATATTGCATGACTAAATTATGACTTATAAAATAAAATCCATTAAATGGAGAAGTAAGAACCTTGTGAATATTTATCGTGAACCTTAATATTAATAAATGATAACAATTTTTATGTATTAGATATGTATTTTTATTTCATATAAATTATTATTTTCCTACAAATATTAAAATAGTCTGTGTTAACACAGAAATGTAGTATGGTGCCGGATTTTCAGCGCAAGTTGACTGAGGTTGTGTAGGTGTCCTTATATACGTAATAATATATTTTTGAATTAACAATTATGAATTTTGTGCATTTCAATGAACCGTGCAACATTCAGCTAATTTTGTAGACGCAACATTTCGATTTGTCCGAGTTCAGGATTCGTAGATAATATTATTATGGTCTGCCTGACTCAAACATTTCTAATGAAAGTATTTAAATATATATTATTTTTAGAAAATTGCATAAATATGTCACCAAATTACCCAGATATCGATTTTGATCACTCGATTATTGAAAACTATTCCATGTAGTTTGTATAAACTCCATAAACACTGGTTAATGTATTTCAGGTAGGTAATAACACAGCTTATATGCAATAGCGATGTTAAATGCTTCTGACGATATGCGATAGAACACTTGAGCACATTTTAAATATTTTTAGAAATAATTACATATGGTATACATATGGTTACATAGGGTAGTTTATAATAAGTCAAAAGTGTTATTAAAGTTAAGCCACAGTATAAATTATTTTACCTAAAATATCCTACCTGAATTTTGGTAATATAA